ACATTAAGTCAAGGCATGAAAAATATTTCGCTCTACCCAGTTGATCTAAAATATCATCAAATCTAGGTAGTGGGAACTTATCTGCTAACAGCTTTTTGTTGATTTGACGATAGTCAATTATCAATCGCCATTTTTTCTTATTGGATTCGGAATGAGAGTTCTTTGGGACTAATAAAAGTGGGCTGTTATATTCTGACACAGATGGTTCGACAATTTTGTCGTCAATTAGTTTTTGTACTTGGGCTTGGATTTCTTCTTTTTGGCTGTGAGGACTTCCTTAATTTTTTATGTAGACTGGTTCATCGTCTTTCAATCTTAGCTTTTGTTTATAAAAAATTTTCGATGAAATGGATTCGGTTTCTAGTCCAAATATATCTGTATTATCAGTGCATAATTTCAAACTTAGCTTTTGTTTATAAAAATTTTCGTTGAAATGGATTCGGTTTCTAGTCCAAATATATCTGTATAATCATATTTGTGCATAATTAAGTTAATTTTGCTTTAAACTGTGGTGGAAAATTTTTGGATAATCGAGACATGACTTCTTCTTTTCTACTTCCATTGTTAGTTTGAACCACATCGTAGTTCAAAATTGATTCATAATTTGATTATTTATACTAATTAGTTGATCGGTACTGGTTGTGTTCAGTAGTCGGACAAATGCGTTTCGTGTGCTTGCAACGCTGTTTGCAACATAAATACCAGTTTGAACTTCCTGAAGATACTTGAAGATAGTTCGATTTTTCGGACAACTTGTGATCTTGCTGTTACAAGTATTGTATTATTAGAAGAACTATATGTTATTGGAACATGAATCGGAAAATTTAGATTATTGGGTCTGATTATAAGCCAATCTTCTGTCGGCTTGAAATCTAATTAGCAATTTTTTAATAAAGTCAATGCCTATTATTCCGTCACATGGTATTGCAAATTGCAAATATACTATATGAAAACTGTGTGGAATTATGTATTTATCTGTCTGTATCTCGATAGAGCTTAATGGATTGTACAACCCTTTGGTTTATCCCTTGAATAATTATTCTGCTATCTATTTGAATATCTTGAAAGACGTCGGAATTTTCTTTTAATATAGAAATATCCGCACCAATTAAAAAGATTAATTTTTTCCCTGATTCTACATGGTTAAATGATACGAATATATTTAAGCTAAGATTGATAGTGTGAACCTTTTTGTTTCTTAGTGTTGTGTATCTAAAGGTTACGGTTTTTGTTGTTATTATTGTTATTGCTATTGTTTCTTTTAGAATTGATAGAATTGTTTCTGTTATAGTTGCCACGTCCTCTATAGCTATTGTTGTAGTTCTGGTTGTTGTTATTCCTATTATGGTTATAATTGTTATTATAACGAGCATTTCCTCTACCACGATATGTACCTCTATAGCATTACCTCTCTTGGAAAACAATACTGTATTCACATCACCAGTAATGCGCGTATAGCTGCATCCATTGTGGAGCATGTTCCTGCCTCTAGTACGGTTTTTATACTCTCATGCTCTGCCTTTTTGATCATGACATCAATTGCCTCTCTTGTGCTTAATTTGTCTGCATGATCTGCTGGTATTCCCTCATCGATAAACGAAGCTTCACTGGTAAATTGTGTGGCCGTTTTACCTTTCTGCTGTACTGTAGCTAATTTGGCCTTCACATTTTGCGATGTCTCGCCTACAATAATAGTCTGCAACTTATCTATAATTTCAGCTATAGACGTTTCATCTTTTACTTTGTATAATGTTGTGCCTACTATTTTTGATTTAATCACTTCAATGGCAATTTCTTTGTATGGTCCCTTTGTCAGGTCGATCAATTTTATTGCTGTGATAAATCTGTGAAGATGGATTTTCTTTCCATCGAACGCGGCTGTTGAAATTTCTTTTATATACGCCCTTTGGGCGGCTGAAGTATCTGCCATAGTGACGGACTTTAGTTCAATTAAGCTTGAGTTTGAATCTGACTCTGAATACTCTTCTTGTATTAATTCGGGTAATGTTATTACTGCGGGAATTGTTAGATCATTTATATCTTCTTCTTTTACCTCGTTTTCAGGGTGACTAGTTGATTCAAATTCTTCTGGTAGATCTACATCTCTTGGTGTTGATTCTGGTTCTTCACCTGTTTCAACTGTCAAAGGGGTATTTAGGATAGATGGTATTGATATATCCAATTTATACCTTTCTCTCACAGAAATAAGATTTGATCTAAGTCTAATTAAGAGTTTCGATACGTATAACCAGTGTGTCTGGTTTAATTTGCCTCTCTGGTCGTGTATTAGTGTGCGCGCCTGATTAAAACAACATTAAAACATGATTAAAAATCAAATTAATACTGAGTGAGTACAGGGCAAGAGCTCTAGGGCAAACACCAAGCCCAGCCGCATTGAGGAGCGAGTCAGACGTAGAAAGTCTGAAATAGTAAGACTTCTATATAAATGCAAAATTCCCCTCCCATGGGACACTACAGTCAAACTAAATGACGAACTCGAACATCTCGAGTCGTAATTAAAGTCAAAGAGCGAGCCCTGTCCCTCAGAAATTAAAGATATAAAACTAACAAAGAATCATCGTCCACCGCCATGAAAGATACCAGCACGCCCACGCCGATGCCCACCAGATTGTGAGGGTCCCTTCAGGAAGTAATAGCACCAGCAGAGTCAACCAACGCATGAGAGGCAGACCGCCGCTTATGCCTACGAGGGAATACAAAGCAACTAAGACGAGTTGCATGAGAGGCAGACAGCCCCTTATGCATACGAGGGAACACAAAGCAACTAAGACGAGTTGCATGAGAGGCAGACCGCCCCTTATGCCTACGAGGGAATACAAAGCAACTAAGGCGAGTTGCATGAGAGGCAGACCGCCTCTTATGCCAACGTGGGAGTAGCAGCAAGAGCACCCAATAAGGAGATGACCGGCAGCGCTGTCAAGAGCGCCCAACGTCTCGTCTACAATATTCCTATTTTGTGGTAGGCATTTATATGATTTATCAAAAGTGTCTCTAATTTCTTCTTATTTGGCACGAATCTGTTGCCATTCCATACTGTTCTATGAGGAAGTAGTTGTACTAGTATTACACATTACCTTATGCGAAAATATATATTCTTTTGTTTTTTTTTTATTTTATTTTAATATTGTATATTCAAATTATAACTACCAATTATCATTGTTTCAAAGATTATATTTAGATCTTATCCAGATTGTTTGCCTTGCTTTGATATTTTTTTCTTAAGCATTTGTTATGTATTTTGTAAATTTTAAAGAACATACTGGCTGACATTAATATTAGAATGATAATTAATAGTGTGCTTATAAGGCTTTAATCCTGATTTTCTACTTCTACTTTATTAATTACGTTAGCAGTGGAATCCACTGTCTTAGTGTCTATTAAGCCCATTTCTACCGTGTCTATCTTACTTATACTATTGTCAAACATGAACAAAAATTGTTATTTTTTTTGTTAAATGTGTTAAATCGTTTTTAGTTAAATCGATTAATCAAATATGTTAAATTAGATACAGTTTATAGTTTTCTTTTCCTACCTAGTGTTTCGAATGGCTGTACAGGCCAAACGTCTTGCCGGCCGACTCAATTGTCGTCGGGCATTATTACAATTCTTAAGATTTAGTTGTAACTATTTAATATAATATGTTGGGCGCTCTTGACAGCGCTGCCGGTCATCTCGTTATTGGGTGCTCTTGCTGCTACTCCCACGTTGGCATAAGAGGCGGTCTGCCTCTCATGCAACTCGCCTTAGTTGCTTTGTATTCCCTCGTAGGCATAAGGGGCGGTCTGCCTCTCATGCAACTCGTCTTAGTTGCTTTGTATTCCCTCGTAGGCATAAGCGGCGGTCTGCCTCTCATGCGTTGGTTGACTCTGCTGGTGCTATTACTTCCTGAAGGGACCCTCACAATCTGGTGGGCATCGGCGTGGGCGTGCTGGTATCTTTCATGGCGGTGGACGATGATTCTTTGTTAGTTTTATATCTTTAATTTCTGAGGGACAGGGCTCGTTCTTTGACTTTAATTACGACTCGAGATGTTCGAGTTCGTCATTTAGTTTGACTGTAGTGTCCCATGGGAGGGGAATTTTGCATTTTTATAGAAGTCTTACTATTTCAGACTTTCTACGTCTGACTCGCTCCTTAATGCGGCTGGGCTTGGTGTTTGCCCTAGAGCTCATGCCCTGTACTCACTCAGTATTAATTTGATTTTTCAGTCCTCCAGCTCCAGCTCGTCTGCTCTACTCCAGGCAGGTTATATCTACTTTTGATATAGCTTCACGGTCGCCATGTAATAGTTAAAAGATTGGGTTTTGTGTTGTTTTGGTTACTTCGACACGTCCGGTCGAAGTCAAGTTTATTTCCATAATAAATCGTACAGTTCTTATAAACTGACTTAGCTAAGGCTGCACGTTGCTACGCCGGCAGCAGAGTAGCAGATTATATAAAATATATAAATGTGTCTTTATGTAAAGTAACGGAAACGTTGCTGCTATATGCTCATAGTACCTTATGTATACGGTCGAAGCCTGACAGTTATGCTGACTAGGCTCTGGCCGTTGCCCGCTACATTGAAATGCGGTCATATTTCGTTGCACTTGAAATGTGTTGAGTACTTCAGCTTTGTTTACGTCAACGACAAAGTGTCGTTGTTTGGTTTATGTTTATGCAATTATGGATTGCTGTTAAATTATTGCTAAGTACAGTGTTCCCTCGATATATGGGCATATTACACTTTATCTGTCATGTTGTGACAAGTTTAAGATGCAGAACATAAGTTAGATCAAAATGGTACTTTTCAATACATACTTCTAAAAGTCGAATCATGGAGTCATTGGTTCTTTAAAAATTATTAAATTCATTTCGATACAGATGAGTGGATATCTCAAAAAAAATACAAAATAAAGCATTTTAATTAAGATATTCTTGGTCGGCATGGTATATATTGATGTACTAAATATATTATATATTGATTTGCGATTCTACAGATTTTCACCACAATATACGTAGCAACGTATCACTGTCATTCGTGAGAATTGTGATACGGAATCTTCTCGATGTACGATAACCACACACATACAACAATGGTAAGGTACTAGTATGTTACGGAACTACTTGTTTCCCTTTGGGTCGCGCCGGCTGGCTCATCGGTTCTCTGGGTGCAGTCCCATCCCTGGCCCGCAGTCCGCACAATCGATACCAACAACGCTATTCAAAGTGAACCACATAATCGATAACATCAAACAGCCGGAACTATTAACAAATGAACAACACTAACAGCTGTAACAAGAAGAAAATGTAAACAACAAACGTGAGACGCTCAATATAAATTAACAAAAGACACTATTTATCCACTTTACTCTTCCAGATCGGGCCTCGGTTCCGGACCCAGCGCACCCGCCCTACCTGAGACGATCACCTGATCTCGTCTCTCTCATTTTTGGCCACTAGATGGCCTGCATCCGCCCGTGTCGACTGTTATGCCCACTCTCCCCATCAATTTAAACTTAGCCGGACATTCTTTTCCTTCAATATACGCGTATAATTGGTTACGTTTTCTTAAAATTAATAACAATTAATCTCATTTCTTACTGCATCTAACGGTCTAACCAACGGTTGACGTGTTTACAATTAATCTGCGTGCGCATTTTCTACCTTTGTTCGCCCAGCCGGCTAATTAGAACGCCCAACGTAGGCCACACCCACGACCCTGAGATTTCAGCACCGGGACGGTCGCCGCCAACGTCTCTGCAGGAGTTCCGTTCGGAAACCGAAGTCCATGACGGGATCCGTGGCGTCCTTGCCGACAAACCCGCTGTTCCCCTGTTCGAGCTTCACGTATGCCCCTTCAAATTCCTAATCGTCCGCCTCCGGCGGAAAATCGCCAGCTCTTCGGTCTTCCACCACCAAGGAACGCTACGTTAAAGTCTTTGAAGCTCATATAACTACGGTCAGCATACATACGAAGTCCATGACGGGATCCGTGGCGTCCTTGCCGTCAAACCCGCTTGCTAATATTTACCTAGATTTGAATAAATAAATAAATAAATAACATCAATATTCACTATCGCCAACAAAAATAGCTCACTTTCACTAACAAATCTTACAAATAATAATAACTGAAGAATTAAATAAATATCGACAAAAGAAATAACTCACAACAATAATTTTCTATGTTTTAATTAAGTTTCATATAATTCGGGGGAGAGAAAACAAACCCTATCACAGGCTAACTTGTCTACGCATAATCTGGACAGTGGACAACATTTAAGCATTCGTCAAATGCTCAGTTCGTCAGTTTGACTGACGAACGGCATTCAAGGAACGCTACGTTGGAGTCTATTTGGTTTCTGTCGCATTTGCACTTGCAACATGCGAACGTGACTTACCGCCATCAACCACGACAAGAAAAACTTCTAATGCTCAAGAATATTCTAGTAATCTCTGCCTTCGTCGTGCTTCTCGGATTCCACTAAACGTTGCGCGATTATGAGCCACCTACTCGTGCCACATAAGACATCAGCGGTGTGGATCCTAAAGCCAAGGGAACTTTTCCTTGTACCTGCATTGATAATTTTTGAAAAATATGCGCGTATAATTGGTTGCGTTTTCTTAAAATTAATAACAATTAATCTCATTTCTTACTGCATTTATCTATCAGCCACTTACAATCTCATGCAATCGGACCTTTCAATAACTTTACAGGTGCGTATAATTATACGTGTATTATTTTAATTATTGACAATTAATATTTCTTTTATTGCAAGCTATCTCCACTCAGTTATTTACGTTGTCATGCACGTGGAAATTTCTTCACCAGGTGCGTATAATTGTTGCATATACTTATGATTATGGACAATGTGTATTAATTTCAAAAAAATGCAATTCTTTTCTAGCCGAACAACACAGAGAAAGGACGTCATCGAAAGCTAATGCTAACCGCCGTTGGGAACAAAGTGGGAGAACAAATATTATAAATATTAAATTGAGCAATAAGCTCCCCACACGTTCGCGCCCATATATATATGTATATATATATATGTTACCACGCTGGAAAAAAATGGTATATTATAAAGAAGCTTATATAAAAAAAGAAATTTGTATTAATCAAAGCGCTTAAGAACACTTAGCCTACCTAAAGATCTCTCTGGAGCGCTAAGGGCGATGGAAATAAATGATTTTGTATACCCTGAACCCATTGAAAATGTATGTAACAGGCAGAAGGAAGCATCTCAGACCACATAAAGTATATATATTCTTGATCAGCATCAATAGCCGAGTCGATCTAGCCATGTCCGTCTGTCTGTCCGTCCGTCCGTCCATCCGTCCGTATGTATGGACGCAAGGATATCAGAACCTATAAGAGCTAGAGACTTGAAATTTTAGCTGTAGGTCCTCCTAGTACCCACGCATGAAAATGATTAAAGAAAACGTGTTTTGTCTTTTCTCCTATTAGCAGCAGCACGCGCAAATTCCAAGAATTTCTGTATACATGCACACACACACATTCATGCGCGTCTTTATTGAATTCTTTCAACTGCATTGTTATTGCGATTGTATTGTTTTCTGTGCTGTTATTTTAATTCGTCTTTTTCTAATTTGGTTTCAATAATTGGTGCGGCTGTTAGGTAGAAGCGGCGGCAAGTAGTGCGGTCGGTTGCGAGTTCGAGACCTACCGAGGAAACTATTTTTTTTTTGGCTGGTGTGGCCGTTGAGTACTGGTTATGGCAAGAAGTGTGGTCTGTTGCGTGTTCGAGTCCTATTGAGGTATCGTTTTTTTGTATACCCTAAACCAATAAAAAATGGTTAAAAGCCATTTTTAAGAATATACGAAATATAGCACAATAAGCTCTACTGAAAATTTCATCAAGATTGGTTAAGAAACACAAAGAAAACGTGTATTGTGTGGCCTCGTGCTTGCGGGGCAGCTAGGGAAAATTGTAAGAATTTTTGTATACATGCGCAAACACACATTCATGCGCGTCTTTATTAAATTCTTTCCATAGCATTGTAATTGCGATTGTATTGTATTCTGAGCTGTGTGTATGTGTTGCTATATTAATTTTTTTTTTTAGTGAGAGCTAGTTGGTTTTCTGGCTGTAGAGTAGAGGCGGTTGCAAGTAATGCTGGCTGTTACAAGTTCGAATCGCAAGGGGCTATTATTTTTTTTTTTTTAATATTTTTTTTTATACTCTGAACCCATTAAAATGGGTAAAAATGGTATAACGGATTTGTGCAAATATATGTAACAAGCAGAGGGAAGCATAATGTATATACATATATAAGTGGCGGACTTAAACCATACAGAATGAATGATTTTTTGTTTAAATGCTACTTTTATCCTTTTACCCATTAAGTGTAAATAAATTTACATTTACAAATTTAGTTAGTTTATCAATTATTTTAATCAATTCCTTACTAATATACTAATACTAATATGTATGTACATGTATGTACAACCTAAGAGACACATTTACAAATTAACACAAACATATGTACATACGTTCTAGGTCTAGGCATAACATGCACATACCTAAGTACATACATATGTCTATTTTCTCGCCTCAAGTGAGAAATCCATCAAATAGATATTTTTCAGTACTATCGACCATTCGCACAGCTGGTGTAGCGAAATAGATCCCCTCCCCCTGCACCAAAAGAGATATTTGACTTGCGCGCGTAAATTTATGTACATTTTATGTATGTATTTATGTATATATGTACATAGTGTGACTTTGTCTTGCATTAGCTGCTGCTAGAGAAGAGAATTGTGAGCGGATTGTGACCGTCGTGATAAGTAAAGTGCCTTTTTTTGATCTTGCTGAGGACTCTGATGATGTTTTACCATCTGGAGCTTCATTTTAATTAAAATCGCAAGTTTATTAATATAATTTTTATTTTTAGTCTTTTTTGGAGACTATTCAAATATTTAGTACCTACTTTTTATTTATTTCAGACATATAAGATGATAAAAAATTAATTTATTATTTAATATTATATTATATAAAATTATAAAATTTTAAAAATATTTATTTACTTCATTAAACAAGTTTTTAAATTGTAAAAACATGGCGAAATTAACAAAAGACATCAAATGGTGCATAAGGCAAAAGAGTCCTTACAAACCAATTATTAAATAAAAAAAAAAAAATAAATAAAAACAAAAATTTACTTCATTAATTTTAAATAAATTATTATACTTTATTTAACTTTAATTAATTTAATTTAATTTCAATTAATTATTTTAAATAATAATTCTTATTATTTAAAATTAATAATTTTAAAATATTATATTTTTATTGTTATTAAAATTTTATATTTGGTAAAATGCCTGGGACAAAAAAGTTGTCAGTTCTTAATAGGTCTCAGAGACAACGAGCTAGAAATCTCAACGAGATCGTAGAGACGATGAAGGTTTTAGTCAAACTGAAAAAAAAAAATAGGAATAGGCAACGAAACCAAGTTCGCAGACAAGACCTTTTTTACAGGGTAAATGAACAGAGACAAAATACAGAAGACCACTTGACTCGACAAGCTAATTCTCCAGTTAGATAACTGGAGCAATTGGCGAATACTTCGCGTCGATCGAGACGCAGACAAGACCCAGTTTATAGGGCAAACAAACAAGTGCAAGACAATATTCGACGAGCACGCGATCGACAAAACATAGGACGACGACTTTTTAGGTCACAGGTTAGACAGAATCCGATTCGTAGGATAATTGAGCAAGCACGTAATACAAATACAAGGCGAAGTGCTCGAATTCAAGCACGACAGGACGCTTTTGACGCGAATAGAAGTTTATCGCAGCGAATAAGCCAGTTTAGAAGAAATAATAGTAATAGGATAGCAGAGAATAGGCGCAATGCTACCAGCAACAGGGAAGAACGTGCGAATAATTTTCCAGAGGATAGAATCTCTCCAGTTATTATGAGTAACTTAGATGGTCTGATAGATGCGCTCAATAGAACAGTTAAGCAGGGTCCCGATCAGGTTTGCCTTTGTTGCAAAAGCTTATGGTTTCCACATTAAGTGGACAAAATTTCTCGTGAGGTTATTGAAAGCAAGTGTGGTGCAGAAATAAGCTCCGATATTTTATATCTATCCTCTACATTACCCTCTGATAAAAATAAATATAGTTTTTGCAAAACATGTAGTCGTAGCATTAAATTAGGCAAAATACCAAAAGCTTCTATAACAAATGGCCTAGATTTTCTCGATCTGCCAGATTGTTTGAAAGGCTTAACGCCTTTAGAGGAAAGGCTGATTTTCCCTCACCTTCCCTTTATGATTATTAAGTCTTTAGGATATGGTCGACAAAATAAAATAAAAGGAGCTGTGGTCAATGTACCAATTCCTGTGGCCAATGTTGTAACGTCCCTTCCGAGGGCGTTTAATGAGAGCGAGGTAGTTAAAATTCATCTCAAACGTAGGATGGAATATAGCCATGATTTCATGGCCGAAACCATTAGGCCTTCTAAAGATGCTGATGCAATAAAATTTTTAGTCAACACCGAGCTTTACAGAAAGCATCAAATTACTTTTAAAGAACAGTGGTTGTCGTCCTTTTCGTCTGACGAAGTTCCGTTTGTTGCATCTGCTGACGGCAAGGACTTAGTATCGCAGTTAGTGGCAAGCTCTACTCAAGCCTCCATGGATGAGCAGAATAATGTAGAAGAAGACATTAATCCAGGAGGCCAGGAAACATTATTAGAAAACGTCCCTGTCGAAAATATTGCCATGCCAAGAGTAGTTATAGCTCCTGGAGAGGGTCAGCGTCCTTTAGACCTGATCGAAGATTGTGATTCAGAGGAGCTGGCCTTCCCAACTATTTTGCTGGCAATAAGAGAAAGTGTCCAGAAAGTTTTACAGCCATAGTTAGGTCAGAAGTTAGAAACTTTGATAGGAGAGGTTGTAAAACAGATAAATTATTTCTTAATTATAAAAAACTGGAAATGATTAATATAAGGAACAGTACTTCCATTTGCTTGCGTAAGCACAGCGCCACACAAGGCATTAGGGCAGCAAAAGCCCTTAATAAGGAGTTTTTAGAAAATTTAATACGGCACGATGATTGATATAGGGTTTTGAAAAATAATCGCACTTCACCTGCTCAGTGAAGCAGAAAAGAAGAAGGTCATGGCGATGATTAGGCATTTTTTTATAA